GTCTTAGAAGTCAAAGTCATAAAATGGAGTCCAAAAGACCGGACGATTAAAAGCAAACTCACTGTGACACACAACTAACGTCAGCCGATATAAAAAAAAAAAGGGACAAAATTGTTATTCAAAAAATCAGAAACTTGATAAAGGACTTAAAAAAAAGAATTTAGCAAATAAATAAAACCAAACCAAAGAAAAATGACCTCCTTCTTTACTGCTGTTTTATTAATAGCAATCATCTGATTACTATCGCCTATTTTTAAAACTTTTACTTCTACAGGGCGAGTCAAAAATGGCGCCCATATTTTGTTAATATTCGTCTTTCAGTTTATTTTCTTGGTTAATTCTTGCGTCAAAGGATTCATGAAAACATTTTCCCGGAAAATGGATTGATTTAATGGCCGGCATACTCCCCAGCCCTCACATCTCAAGATTCCTTGGTTTGCGGGTTTGTGAAAGATCTTGTTTATCGTAACAAGTCCCGTAACATTCAGAAACTAGTCTCAAATAGCGGCCAGGTTTAAAGAGACTGATATCGAACTCCGAATAGTTAGTGCCACTCTAACAGCGTGACTTCAATCGTGCACCTGCTCACGGAGCGGGAGGGACACTTTGAACAAAATCAAAGAACTTAGTGAAGTTCCTTAAACCTTTGAGGGTCTCTGCCTTACCTGAATAATTTGAACCCTTCTGCCTGAGCTCCTGAGTCAAAATTCGCAAATAATTGTCATGTAATGTTTCACAGTACATATAAAAATAGTTACAAGTGTTTGTCCACCGTACAAATGATGGCTGGGCATTAAGTCATTTGTCTCTACCACTGTTCAACCGGTGGTTGTGTATTACGTCATTTTTCTCTACCACTGCTAAAGCGGTGGTCAATGCTCAAAGGGTTAATAATCTTGTGGTAAAGCGGTGGTCAATGCTCAAAGGGTTAATAATCTTGTGGTAAAGCGGTGGTCAATGCTCAAAGGGTTAATAATCTTACCCTGAATAAAACGTTAGATAAACGTATCTTTCATCAATTACTAACTTCTCGTACACTGTACAAATGACAAGCAATCAACTGATAATAAAGTAGAGTGCAATTTTTTTAATATTAATGTTCATACAATACAAGGCCAAAGAGCCACACAATGTAGAGAAGCGTGGTGTAGTATGAGCGTAAGAAAAGAAAGAAATAAAGTCCATAGCGTTATGCAGTAAAGATAACGTGAAGAGGTGAAGAGTGTAGTGATTGGGAGAATACATTGTTGGTTCCACAAAGCAACATTTCTTGGGAAGGAACATTCCGAATGGAACTTCCTCCTTATTAACGGAATGCGAAGGGAATTGTATGGATTCACCCTTGGGTATGTGGCATGGCGACCACAGTTGTAATTATCAAGGCTGCTAAGTAATGCGACTCATCAGAGCACATGCCATGGAAATAGCGATAGAAGCAGCGAAAGGCTCGCGATGTTTTGTTTGTGGGAAACGGGCTGTAGGGTGGAAAATAATTTATCACACACAAGTCCGTGTAGGTGCTTTTGAACTCTATCAAGACAAGCAACAAATGGGGTTTGGGCAGCTGAAGCCCAGTTATGTCAACAAACCCCATTTTTAGTTTTGATCAGGCTCTTATAAAGAGAGGAGGGCGGAGTCAGATACTTAATGGAGCGGTACAATGAACCGAGCCTTTTTTCGGTATCTTTAGCAATAAATCGGACAGAAGAGTTCCAATTAAGGTGCCAGGAGAGCTTGGGCCCCAATAGACGATCAAGACAAGGAGCCTCCTTGAGAGAAAACCCATACATGATAGGTAAAAAACTTTTTCTTTTTTTTTTTTTTTTTTTTTTTACTAATCTGATATTTATGCTGATTCGACCAGAGGGTAGCAAGATTGTCAGATCCTGAGAAGGGCTTAAAAAAAGAAATATTTTCACAGAATACCAGGCTCAAGAGCCACTCATGGTAGAAGTTAACTGAATGATGTCTGTGATATGAATGTAAGAATAGGAAGTCGGAAGTAAGGATTATGTGAATATTGAAGATATATAAAGATTGTCTCTTGATTTGAAGACGTTAAGATCATAGTGATCAGGGAAGCACCCACATGAGAGTCTGTTTCACGGGAGTCTGGTTTTTTTTTTTCTAGGGAATAAGCTCTCTGAGTTTAGCATTAAACTTTAGAATTGGAACACGATAGGAATGGGATAGATTTGATTCCGTGAACGTACCATGACGCGTCCTAGCGGTAAAAGTCTGAGATAAAGAATGGATCTCATCTAAACATTTGCCATAGAAATAGCGATAAGCTTGCGACGTTGCGTCTGTGGGAAAAGAGGCTGCAGGGTGGAAAATATATCATCCGCCAACAAGACTGCGTAAACGGCCTGAAATCGACCAAATTTGAAAAACGAGTACTGCGCATCTCCAGCCCAAATATGGCAGCGGTACCCTAACCTGACTCTTGTAAAGATAAAGCCAGGCAGGAAGAGTCGGGTATTTTCTGGAGTGGTAGAAGGAGCAAACCATTTTTACAGCATCTTTAGCATTGGGTCGTACAAGTTGGATCCGGAGTGAACAGACGTTCAAAGCAACGAACCGCATTGAGAATGTTAGGCATCCATCCATTTTTGTAGACAAAAGAAAATTCAGGATCTTATTGATGATGTCTTTTGAAGTATTGAAACTTACAAGCCAATTTTGCCCATTGAGTAACCAGAGCTAGACCAGGGAAAAGATCAGCTGCCAGTCTCCAATCATCTTGATTTTTTGGGAGGTGCTTCTATAAACTGCATAGATCAGCTTACTAGCGCCTATCCCCCAACCGGAGATGTAAGCATGGTTGGGGGTCCCGGCCAGTGCTTTATGACCATCGCTATTTTATCAACATTTGCTTTCTTTCTACCTACATTTATATATATATATATATATATATATATATATATATATATATATATATATATATATAATTAAACGGAGCACAACTATTAATAAATTAAACGGAGCACAACTATTAAAGAATTAAATATTTTCACGGATTTTGACGCCATTTTTGTCCAAATCCGTGAATTTGTTGTGCTCATGCTAAGTCTCGAAAAAACACGACCGTAATTCCCATGTATATCTATAATACGCACACCTAAAATTGAGCTGAAACTGCATGAGAATGCTTCTACTCACGCATAATACGCACCCCTTGTTATGTAATCAAACCCTATAAATTGTACCTCTCCAATTTCATTTCCAGCTCATATTTAAAAAATGGTTTTAAACATAGATGATATTATTCTAATTTAGTTTTAAGATAATTCTTATTTTATTTTACGGATTTTTAAAAGAATTTTTGTAGCTGTGCATAATACACACCCCTGATTTTGCTTATTATTTTTTAGAAAAAATGCGTATTATACACAGGGAATTACTCTATATACAATTCACTATTTTTTATCCATTATGTTCACTGTGTTATAGTTATTCAATTTTTTACGAAGTATATTATTATTGTATTTAGATGCATTGTATTTATTTTGTGGGTATAAGGGGGTCTGGATAGAGATAGTACCTTTGATTTGTGGTACGCCGCACCTTTGGATGGACGGGAATCAAAAGTCCTTAACCATCTCCTAAATCTCTCACGTGATGGCTCCAATTTGCCATAACCAGGTAAACTGTTTCAGCTAGCGGGCTAAACTCACGTGACGGGCGTGGTGTTAACCCAGTATCACTAGGCGATGGAAATCTCGACGCAGATCACCGGCCAGGCCGGAAGGGTTCCTCAGATAAAGAACAACGGCTACTCGTTCGCACCCAAGCCGAGCCATGGAGAACATCGGCTGCGGTTTAACCTGAAGAGGGGTGTACTCCGCCAGGTTAAAAGAGCCAAGACACGCCACAGGTTGGGCACACCAAGAAACCATGGCAAATGGCGGAGAATGATGGTCAGCTCAGCACGTCAGAGGAAGAAGAAGAAGAAGAAGAAGAAGAAGAAGAAGAAGTAGAAGAAAAGGAGGAGGAAAAAGAAGAAGAAAAGGAGGAGGAAGAAGAAGATGAAAAAGAAGAAAATAAAGTAGAAGAAGAAGAAAATAAGAAGAAAAGGAGGAGGAGAAAGAAAAAGAAGAAGAAGAAGAAAAGGAGGAGGAAGAAGAAGAAGAGGAGGAGGAAGAAGAGGAACAAGGAGGCAGAAAAAGAAGAGGAGGAGGAGGAGGAAGAAGAGGAACAAGGAGGCAGAAAAAGAAGAGGAGGAGGAGGAAGAAGAAGATGAAAAAGAAGAGGAAGAAGAAGATGATGATGAAGACGAGGAGGAGGTGAAAGGAGAAGAAGATGAGGAAAAAATCAGAAAAAAAAACAACAACAAGGAAAAAGGTATTTATTTTCAAATTTTCTAGTTGAATTGTTCACCTATTTTGTATATGATCCATTAGTGTACATAATTAGGTTACAATAAAATTTGTATTTTATAAGAATACTAACCTTATGACAATAGAGATGTAGTAAAGCTCTGTATCATAAATTTAATGGAAGGCCTCCGATTCACTTGCAACGTCCCTGCCGAGGAGTGAGACTGCATTGTTCTCATGGTCTTCGAAAGACTGGCCGTTTAAAACGACCATTCTGAACCTACCTAAGAGAAAAGACTTGATAATTCCATAGATTCTTCCAGAGATGCCACAGTGGGAAAGACTGTTCAGCAACCCCCTATGCCACATCTTGCCAAGGGCCTTTGTGAAGGCAAGCGCCCCAAGGATGAAGCTACCACCGAGCACTTCACTCATTCTATGTGTTTTGTAATTTCTGAAATCATTTGATTATATATATTTTATGAAATAAATATTTATATTACAGCTCAAAAGTTTGAAGCCACTCCTAGAATTAGCATGGAATGAATTTGACAGAAGAGTGAAAATAATGAACAAGAACTCTTAGAGTAATTGAATGAAGAATGGAATCAATTATCAAACTTATACTTTTAGAAACTTTTGCAACGAATGCCAAAAATTTGTGCTGAGGTAACCAAGGCT